GATACAAATACCAGGCGGGATGCCGCCCGATATTTTTCGCTACAGCAGCGACAGCGAATGTCGCTTATATCTGAAAAGGCCTTAAATTAGTCTATTTTTGCCAATTTCAGCTATTATGCTGCCCCAGAATCCCTAGAACAGAGTGGTGTTCCCCAATTGCAAAATGGTAACAGAAGATTATACTCCGAAATCAACAATGAAGACCCCGATCAATCTTACTGCTTTCCCAAACACTTGGTCTCATCATCATTAGAAGAAAAACTTGATCCTCAAAACAATGGCTTACACAGGCTTGTTGTATATCTATATCTTAACGTACTCTCTGATCAAGCGTCTCTTTATATCCCTAATCGCGACAAACAAGCGCTATTTGCCAGTTTAAATTTTGAACAAGGCGACGTCTTACAAAATCTCACTGATAAAGAGATTCTGAAAAATAATACCAACATATCTATTCTTATAAACAACACATCACCTCAACCATTAATAAATGATACCAGTAATATTACACACATAAAGTGGTCGACAGACATGAACTCATCAATTAATGAAACATCGCCAAAAAAATTGAAAGAACCTTCTACTAACTCCAAAAATCTTCAGTCATCTGATCTCCTGAATTCCTATAATTCTAAACAGAAACCAGAGTTACACACCATCACAGAAAAACCAAATTTATTTCAAACTCCAAATCCAAATTCACGATCAAATTTAAATAAAAACAGATGGGAAAATGCAAGATCCGATGACTCTGCTGATCATCCTACTAAATCGCCCTTAGACTATAATGATGGTGAATATAAAATTCTACCATTTTTACCGACACATATAAATCATGAAAAAGAACGTCGACCAACACCAATTGGTTTTAATCAAGTACCATACATGATATCACACGTTCCAGAACCAGAACTGAACCTTTCACAAATAGTCACACATAAGAACAACATAGTTCATTTCACACGCAACTATCAGAGTCGAAATCCTGTTTTACAGCCTTACAGGATGATATCTCCACATAATAGTGGTAATGAAGTTTCAGGCAATATGATTGGAGTTCCAGTAAAATTCAATTTGATAAAAGTTCCCCAAAGTCATAACACCATTTCATTACATAAAGGTTTGATACTCCCACAAAATCTGATCAGCGCTCTTCCAAACCATCCCAAAGTTTCTGGAAGTCCTATCAACATGAAAGCTGAACCCTATACAATCGGAGTCCATTCAAAAAACCATATAATAAACGTCCATTCATACCACCCAAATTTAGCAGGAAGTTCTGTCAATTTAGGAATCGATGACAATAATATGACAGTATTTCATCCAAACCATCTCAATTTAGAAGGAAGATCTGACAATTTAAGAGACGATCTCAATAAGATCCAAGTCCCTCCGAACCACCCAAATTTAGTAGGAAGATCTCTCAGTTTAGGAATCGATAACGATAATATGATAGCAGTACCTCCAAACTATCCCAATTTAGAAGGAAGATCTGATAATTTAAGAGACGATCTTAATAAGAACCAAGTCCCTCCGAACCGCCCAAATTTAGCAGGAAGATCGATCAATTTAGGAATCGATGACGATGATATGATAATAGTACCTCCAAATCATGTGAATTTAGAAGGAAGATCTGACAATTTAAGCGACGATCTCAATAAGATCCAAGTCCTTCTGAACCCTCCAAATTTAGCAGGAAAATCTGTCAATTTAGGAATCGATGACGATAATATCATAGTAGCACCTCCAAAGCATCTCAATTTAGAAGGAAAATCTGACAATTTAAGAGACGATTTCAATAAGATCCAACTCCCTCCGAATCGTCCAAATTTAACAGGAATATCTGCCAATTTAGGAATTGATGACGATAGTGTGATAGTAGTACCTCCAAACCATCGCAATTTAATAGGAAGACCTGACAATTTGAGAGACGATCTCAATAAGGTCCAAGTCCCTCCGAGCCACCCAAATTTACCAGAACGATCTGTCAATTTAGGAATCGATGATGATAATATGATAGTAGGTCCTCCTGACCATCCAAATTTTGGAGTAGTCCCTGATAATTTTAGAATTAACCCCAATATGATCCGAGTAGCTCCAAATCATCATCACCCAAATTTCAGAATTGAACCTAATATGAAGAGAATACCTCCATTAAGAGTTAACTCCCGTTTGGTCCAAGTTTCTCCAAATCATCATCGTCTAAATTTCAGAGTCAAACCACATATGATCAGAACACCTCCATTAAGAGTTAACCCCAATATGATCCGAGTTCCTTCAAATCACCATCATCTAAATTTCAAAGTCGAACCTTATATGATCGGAACACCTCCAAACCAGCCCCAGTTATTAAGAATTAATAATTTATTTTCTGATTGGTTTTATAAGCAAATAGGAAATCAAGGGCTTGATGTTCAAATTAATATCGATGCACTGAAAAGAGACGTTATAAATACTTTAGCAAGGTACAACATGTACATTTCTGAAGACGGCTATTTAATTGATTCACAAGGAAACATTTTAAGTTGGGATTATCTTCAGCTACGAACTGTTTTGGTTGAAGATCCGATGGAGTGTGAAACAATAATGAATCCCCCTGGTCGTATACATTTTGAACAAAGCAATGCGTACTGGAAGGCACTGTTAACGACAGTAGGGCCATCGTCTCAAATGACTATTTTGGATATTATACCATTGGGCAAAATGCAACTTCTTAAAAAATCTGGTAACGTTCCGATCGATAGATGTATTTGTAAATCAGAACATTGTAAACCAGGAATTATTCCAGTCCATACAGGTGACCCAGCATTGCTGGCGAAACTACAAAACTACATGCAGCTTCAAAGACAACAGTTAAATGTTGAGCAATTACTAAATCGCAGAAACGTAGGTTTAAAATTAGATCGTCGTAAAGAGCCATTGCACATCTATGATAAATATAGACCACATAAAGCTCAGGAAAGCTCGAAGAAAGAAGCGCTCACAAAAAGTGGTCGAAGAGAGAAAGATCCTGTCGATATTAAAGACATGAAAGCTATGCCTCCGCGCACCATGCACAATGTAGTAGATTGGAGAATCATTGGTGGAGCCGCAGCAACCAGTAGCGGAGCGCCTATAAGTGTTAGAGGTAGATCAGGGTACATTTTTTAGAGCTCCAAAACATGTAAATTAACACATGAAATTAACATAATTATGATAGTTAAATATAATAATGATTTAAATTAAGTTTATGAGGCGCACAAGCACATATAAAATAAAACACGGTGTGATAAATACCTACAAATAAGTACTCTTGGCGTCGTCCTAATTGAACGCGATAACGCGACCATCGTCGGTTCGCGCGAGTCTTGTTCGTGCGAACCTGCGATCAAACATACAGCGCGTACAGCCCATTTTTGTAACGATATTGTACTATAGCGTAATGAACTTTATTATCAATTGTGTAACGTACATACAAACTAAATACGAGCCAAACTCTTTCGCGGAATTGTCATGCATGCTCGAGAATGCTCGCGTATTCGCGAGAATTCCGCGGAAGATTTTGGCTCGTATTTAGTTTGTACGTTACACAATTGACCATAAGTTCATTACGCTATGTACGGACAACAGCACATCACACTACACATTTTTGTTCGAAAATCGCCTCCAGTGCGACGGAACAAGATACGTCAATGTGTAGCTTGATGTGCTGTTGACTGTACCTACAATATCGTCACAAAAATTCCTTCCGTTTCCATTCCTTCCGCCGCAATATAAATTGAGCCTAATTGCCGTTCGCGCGCTTATAATATTTGAAATCTATACGCGAACTTAGTTCGTACGAACACACGATCTAAAATATTGATATCAGAACAGGTGTCCTAATTGATAATCGCGTCGCATTATCAATCACACGCGGGCTCTGTGGCCGCACCCATGATCGCGGGAACACGGATTCGCGCGACTATTTATTAGGACACCGCTTCATCACTTGGCGACCGATGATTGCATTGAAAATTCGCACGATCGCCTGATCGTTTAATTAGGAAGACGCCGTATGCGTTTTTAAAGAACGCATCAGATTATTTTTTTCCCTTATTAGTTTTATCTAGTTTATTATGTAGTTGTGTAGTTTATTTATAAAAATTACTAATTATTTACATTTAATATAATATACCGACATTCAATCGACGACTAGGCGTGTAATTTGATACCAAAGTGCTTTTAAATAAATGGGAGTACAGCATGATTAAAAAATGTTTTATTAATGTAACATTGAAATCTTATTACAGAGCCATCTATACATTTATTTTCATTTTTATCTTTTCGTTCAAAGTGAGAACACGATGAAATAGTTACTGAGCAACCGACTAGATGTCGCACTAAATTGTATTCTGTGCCATCTATGATATTACGGTACTACTACGACTTATGCGAATAGTCGAGACCAGATACTCACAACTAGTTTCATTGTATATTGAATAGATGTCGCTACCACAAGTAAAGCGAATAGAGAGCAGTACAAGGATTTGAAAAATATGGTGCTGTTTTTGAGGAATAATCGTTTGCAAGCTAAAATTTTAGTATAAAATTATTATAATTCATGAATAGGATGTAAATGATTTTAAATCAGTAAATTGATGTTTTATTTAGTATGGACACTAGCAGCGCCTCTAGCGGAAGAAGTTAACCGGTTTTTAGTTAAAGTTCAAGCGAGTCACAACAAAACATAAAGTTTAGTCAGTCAGTGACCGTGAGGGATTGCAGTTGGTGCTGTTGGGCGCTCTAAAAATATCTCTTTAAAATTCTGCCGCGTTTAAAAGACGATCAAGTTCAAATGGTCTATTTTGTTGAAAGAAAAAAGTTCGAAGTGCAAAAACGTTACCCGTGTTTTATTAAAAAGTGTTTTTAATTTATTTATTACAGTAGATTTTTTAAATAAAGTTTATTTTCGTGTGTATTCGCGGAATATTGTGTGTTCTATTGTTTGTGATTGGGTTCGGAATCAATGTTGTAGTTATTGGAGGATGTTATCATTGTCGCCCATGTTTCTAGGAAGTCTTTTTGAACTTTGATGGGATTAAACTGCTGGTGAGTGAATTTTTAAACAAGCTTTTGTAAAGGTAATTTAAAATAATTTTCATTTTCATTAATGAATTCGTGGAATCTTTTGAAATTCATTCTAGAAGATTTCAATCAATTGCTTTGCCCAAATCATTAGCTTTTGGACCTGGCTAAAGTCAATTTATACATAAACACAAATTCTGTACTCTTCTGTCTAAGTTTTTACCTAGCCTTTTAGCCTAACCTTTCAAATCTCTTTTTTGTTTATGATCCTTTTTCCTGTTACGTCGACATGGTTTTTGACTTATTTTAGGCAAGTTAAGTTCCGATAGTAAATTAATAAATTGGTTATCTATCATGTAATGACTTATTGTTAATGATACCAATATATATATTTAAATACAACTTCTTGTTTGTTATTTTTAGGTAGGTAGGGTAATATATTACATCGCTAATTTAACAAATTAACGTTGTGAATAGTTGTGATAATAAGTAGTCATAGGAAAATGGATCTTATTGCTAGAACTGCAACGTTTATCATTTAGTAACGAAACTAGAATATTTCATCAATTAAGTTTTGCAACTGCCCATAGATCATAATCTAAAACAATGCGAAATAATAATCAAGTCAAGCCAACCTCATAAAAACTGTGAAATATCAAATTTCACAATTCGCGGTCGAAAAATTTCGAGATGTCAAATTTAGTATTCATTGACGGCATACACCTTGTCTTTTTTAGAAAAATAGACGCAAAAACGCAATGTAGAGCTATCTTAAACATTCTTCTTTTGCAACTTTTTTGAACTGTCAACCTTGAGTCGTGCGGCAAGATATAATTTAAAAAAAAATTAAAAAACAAACGGATCTTGGTATCTTATTATTATGCCTTCAGTTTTTGTGACTTGGCTGTATGCTTATTTATAAGGTGTTCGCTGACATTGGTCTAATAAAGATTTTTAAAAGTACCTCTAATGATTTGTCTTTCTTTTGTACTTATTGTGGAGCTGAAGATTATTTTCAATTATTTATACTTAAGTCAAGTTAGTAGAAGGCTGTGCAAGAAATGAAGGTCTGAAAAAATAAAAATCTTGTTTGGCGGGTTCGAGAATGGCTAAGTGGCATATTTTTGCGATTAGCGTTCGCCTAGCTTCTTGCTTAACTTGCACATGTCCTATATGAATTTGTACCTTTTAAGTAGATCCAGAGCTCTTGCTAGAA